AAAAAAAAAAAAAAAAAAAAAAGATCAAACTGAGGTTTAGACAGATGTATTAACTTGCTCCCAGTCACACAGATAATAAATACTCATGCCTCTCACTGTTGTGGCCTCTCCTGTTGCGGAGCACAGGCTCCAGACACGCAGGCTCAGCGGCCATGGCTCACAGGCCGAGCCGCTCCACGGCATGTGGGATCCTCCCGGACCGGGGCACGAACCCGTGTCCCCTTGCATCGGCAGGCGGACTCTCAGCCGCTGTGCCACCAGGGAAGCCCCACTTTAGGTCTCTTGAGCTATAGCACATTTAACTTTGTGTCAGACTGTTGAAGAATGGGTTTACTTAACCAGTCTCCTACAAATGGACACCATCTTATGGTTCTCAGGTGAGGCAAGCAAGGCTCAGAGAGGTTAAGAAGCTTGCACAAGGTCACACAGCTAGAATTCTGGTCTATCGGCTGAACCCTACGTCTAAATTCTCCATCGCTACATTGTCTCACCTCCCAAAGCCTCCTCCCCCAGAGGAAGGATTGGGGTTAGGAGGCCTTCCCTACTTCCCAAGTAGGAGGTGCCCTTGCTCCCCAAGGCCCTCTCTCTACTGTTCCGCTCCCCTCTCCGGAATCCTCTCCCAGATGGCCCTAGGCCATGGACACACACTACCCCATTTAATCCCTTAATGGTTCATCTGCCTCCCAAAGGGAATGTAGATGCCTCCAGACTTCCCTTCTGGAGTTTCCCACCTCAGAGAGGTCAGGGACCACCTGGAGGGACTTACCTGAGGTTCATTTAATCAGTCACTTTTAATGAGCACTTCTGCAAGTAGGGAACTGTTAGAGGCACTTTGGCTTCCTCTAGAATCCAGATAGCACCCAGCCAGTATTATCTACTGTTTTTTAAAAAATATTAATTAATTAATTAAAAAATTTTTGGCTGCGTTGGGTCTTCCTTGCTGGGCGTGGGCTTTCTCTAGTTGCGGTGAGCGGGGGCTACTCTTCGTTGCGGTGTGCGGGCTTCTCACTGTGGTGGCTTCTCTTGGTGCGGAGCACGGGCTCTAGGCTCAGGGGCTTCAGTAGTTGTGGCACGTGGGCTCAGTAGTTGTGGCCCACGGGCTTTGTTGCTCCGTGGCCTGTGGGATCTTCCCGGAGCAAGGATCGAACCCACGTCCCCTGCATTGGCAGGTGGATTCTTCACCACTGCGCCACCAGGGAAGTCCCAAGTATTATCTACTGTTGTGTTAGGGGAACAAGGGTGGGTCCCTGCCCTCAAGGGGCTTACAGTCTAGTGGTGAGACAAACATTAGTCAAGTATACCACTCAAAGGGGCAAGTGGGATGACCATCCTCATTGGAGGTGCAGAGAGCTAGATGGTTGAGATGCCAGGAAGGTGGGAGTAAATGGTTGAGATGCCAGGAAGGTGGGAGTACTTGGGGTAAAACCAAAACTCCCTGATAAGGTCAGGGCCTCCCACCCTCCTCTCCCACCACCTTCCTCTCACCCTGCTGCCTCCTCCTGTGGTCCTTGCTGTCCCCAGAGCCTTTAGCTATGCAGCCCTTTTTTTTCTGGAATGTTCTTCCCTCTCTTCGCTTATTAACTCATCCACCAGCTCTTAGCCCAGGGATGACCAACAACTTAAAACAGAAGTAAAAATGTATAGTTTCCCATGCTCAATGGAGAGGAGGTTTGAGGCCATGAACTGCCCAGGGTTCCAGAGAAGTGTGGGTAGGTCCCTGGTCTTATCAATGCATGGGAGGATCCTGATTTACCCTGGGCAGGGGTCCTGTCCCTCAGAACCTGTCCCCTCTCCTCTCACATCACTCCCATCTGCAGAATGATGGTGAGCCATGGGGGTGAGGGGCCTCTTGACCTTGGGATGCTGGTTCTAGCTTTCCCTCTTATCTGCTCTGTGATCTTGGGCAAATCCTTTTCCCTCTCTGGGTCCATTGCTTCATTGCTGAGACCGGAAGTTGGAGTAATCAGTGACTCAGACTCTGAGAGTTTGTTGAAAGCTATGGTCATTATACATAGAGTTTCTGGCAGCTGCAGGGGTTCTGGAGTCCTGGGGTGGGGTAAGGAGGGGACTTAATTGGGCCTCAAGCTAAGAATCCTTACATATACACACTACTATATATAAAAATAGATAATCAGCAAGGACCTACTGTATAACACAGGGAACTCTACTCAATATTCTATAATAACCTATATGGGAAAAGAATCTGAAAAAGAATGGATATATGTGTAGTATAACTGAATCACTTTGCTGTACCCCTGAAACTAACACAATATTATAAATCGATTATACTCTAATATAAAATAAAAATTAAAAAAAAATAATCCTTGTGTAGAAGCAACTTAAGTGTCCATTCATAGATGAATGGATAAAGATGTCGTACACACACACACACACACACACACACACACACGCACACACACACATGAATATTACTCAGCCATAAAGAAGAATCTTACTGTTTGTGACAACATGGATGAACCTAGAGGTTATTATGTAAGTGAAATAAATCAGACAGAGAAAGGCAAACACCATATGATTTTACTTATATGGTGAATCTAAGAGAACAAAAGAAATGAACAAACATAATAAAACGGAAACAGACTAATAGATACAGAGAACAGAGTTGTGGTTGCAGGGAGGGGGCGGGGAATGGGCAAAATAGGTATAAATAACAGCACAGGGAATGTAGTCAGTAATATAGTCAATCATATTGTAATCACTTTGTATGGTGACAGATGGTAACTAGACTTACCGTGGTGATCAATTCGTAATGTATTGAATATTATGTTGTACACCTGAAGCTAATGTAATATTGCAAGTCAATTATACTTCAGTTTAAAAAGAAGAGTCCTTGGGTGAGACAGTAACAAGCCCCATGTCTGATGACCTGCTGAGGACCAGTCGAATACCCTGTCTTAATCCTCCCCAAATACTTCTCAGGTTCACCACAATTCTTTAAGGCAAGCATTACTTTCTCCACCCAGAGCTCAGAGGCAGAACTTAAATGACTTGTCCAAGCTGGGAGGAACTGAACTAGGACCACCCCCCCCCCCCCCCAAGCCAGGTCTTTCTAAAGCCCAAGACTGTTCTTCCCATTTCAATGAGAGACATCTCTCCTCTCCTTCTGTCCCCACTCTGCAGCACACCCCCTCGTAACACCATACATTTTAGACCTCATAGCCACAGGTCTTTTGCAGCCTGAAGTGCTCTCATGAGGCAGGGCTTACCTCCTAAGGTAAGAGGGAGGACCTGAGGCCCAGAGAGGGTGAGTGGACTGCAAGGTCACCCAGCAGGGGTGCAAGGGGAGGGGAGATAGGGGAAGGGTGGAGCTAGCTGAGAGGTGGACACAGAGGACCTGTGTGCTCACTCCAAGTCAGGTGTGGACAAGCTCCACCTGGTTGCAACTGGGAAGCCCTGCAGGGAGGAGGATGGGGGAAGCTGTAATTAGGGGAAGAAGGCAGGCGCCTAGGGCTGGGCCTTAAAGAATGAGCTCCAGTTTGGTCAAGGAGAGTCTGTCACCCCTAACAACTTTGTTTTCCATTTCTCCCTGCCTCTATTCAAGCTATTCCCCCTTCTCAGGCCCGTCAACATCCTCCTTATTTTTCAAGGTCAGCTTAAATGTCTTCCCTGAAAATCTGAGACCCCTCCCACCCCCCATTCATTTTTTCTGCCGGGGCCTGGGGAGAGATGCCCACTTCTCTCAGACTCTTTGAAGGCAGGATGCTTCCCTACCGCCTCACAGGGCTTGGGCAGGCAGGGTGGGGTTAATGAATCAAGAGCGCTGAGGCTGCGGCCGCCCTGCACCCTGAAAGGCAAGTGTCTTCTGGGAGTGTCCCACCCTGATCCCTGATACTTCTAGTCTCTCCCCTCCCCCCCTCTCCGTTGGAGGGGGCCCAGAGTGTGATTGGTGGTTAACTTCCTAAGCCTGAGAAGGCCCCTGGGTGCTCATGTCCCCACCCTAGGGGTCCCCATCCTGGGCCTGGGTCTGTCTCCTCCGGGGAAGACAGATGATCTCATTTATTGCCTGCATCCGCCGCGCCCCCCACCCGCCCCACTCCTCCCGCGCCCTCTGCAGCAGTTGGGACTGAATAGTGCTGGGGGTACAGAGATGCTTTTGATGAATGAAACTCAGTGGCTCGATCACTCCCAAAGGACGAGCAGAAAATGCCCACACCACGACTCCTCTCGCTCCTTTAAAAAGTAAAAGCACTTGTCAAGGGCTGCCCTAAATTCAGTCCCGTGCCCTCAGTCCCCAAGTTCAACAGCCAGAGCCTCGACACAAACACGCACCAAAGGACTAGGCGGGGGAAGGCGCGGCGCCTTTAAGAGGCGGCGGGCGGTGCTGCCCCCTAGCGGCCGGCGCGGCCGCGCTTCCTCCGCCCCGGCGGGGTCCAGCGGGCCGCCCGGCCGGGTCAGCACGGCGGCGCCGGCGGGCTGCGGGCTAGGCCGAGGACGGGGACGAAGAGGAAGTGGCGGCAGCGGCGGGTGAGGACGGCTGGGCGGGGGAAGCGGGCGGCCGCGTGCGCCACGCCGGGGTCCGAGCGCGCCGGGAAGGGCACGCGCCCGGGTCGGATCGGCCGAACACGCCGCCGGGGACTCGGAGTGGGGACCGCGGGCGAGAGCGAGAGGGAGCGAGAGGAGGAGGAACTCGGGGGCGGCGCGCAGCCAGAGCGCGGGGGCGATCAGCCGTGGCCGCCGCTGGAGGGCGTGTTGCTCGGTCCCGAGCGCCGGGAGGGCGGTGGGCTGGGCGGTGCCGGCGAGGGAGGGCCTCCCTCCTCTCCTCCCCGGCCCGGCCTGGCGCTCGCGAACTTGCGCGCCGGGAGCCCGGCTGGCGGCGGGGGCGTGGGCGGCGGCGGCGCGGGCGGCCCCGACGCGGCGGCAGCCAGTGGAATGCCGCGCTGAGCGCCGCTCCCTCCGCCTGGGCGCCCGCCCCGCCCCGGCCCGCCCCTCCCGGCAGGACTGCGCGCCCGTAGCCCCGTTCCGCGTCCCCGCCGCCGGGAGGAGGTGCCCGCAAGCTCGCGGCGCGCGCCGGGCCGCCAGACTCGGCCTGTGGGCGATTTCCTCCGGACCCCAGCTCCCCGCCCGAAAAGGAAGATGCAGACCTTTCTGAAAGGGAAGAGAGTTGGCTACTGGCTGAGCGAGAAGAAAATCAAGAAGCTGAATTTCCAGGCCTTCGCCGAGCTGTGCAGGTATGGAGGGACGGGGCTCCGGCGTCCGGGGACCCCCGGCCTGAGCCCAGTTCAGCCTCAGCGGCTGTTTTGGGAGGTTAGAGCGAAACGGAAAGGAGCGGTTCGCGGGGACACTGAGTCCGAGTAGCCAGGTGGCGGTGGTGGCCGCCGGCTGTGTTTGAGAGAAGCAGTGGCCAGTATGGGCGGTGTGGCACGGACCAGGGCTCTCAGGTGCACTGGGACCCCGGGTGGGGAGACCCCTGGCTCCCCAGGGCACGGTGGGAACGCTGCTAAAGGTGGCAGAGGGACCTGGGAAATCGGGGGGTCCACGCTGTCTGCCTGTGGCTGGAGGTTACTTTTGGACTGGAGTGTTTTTCTTCCTTCGTCCGCTTCCCTTCATGGAGAAGGGCACCAGTGTTTATGTTTGCGGACCACCTACTATGTGCCCCGCCGGTGCAGCTCTCTTTGCAAGAAGCTGTCATTGCATGTCACTGGATTAAGCGTCTTTGAAGCGAGTAGCAATACTTGGCATGTATGTGATTTGCTGTCTCATTAGAGCCTCGCACCAGCCTTGGGAATTGGCTGGGTTGGTGATTCAGGGCCACGTGTCTAAGAAGGGGAATCCATCCGCAGAGAGATGGGGTACCTGGCCCTGGGTCCCACAGCTAGGGAGTGGCTGGTGCAGAGGAGGTGCTGGGTAGCGTGGAGGGAAGTGCCGAGAGACCAGGAGGCCTCAGGAAAGGCTGGGCCCAGGGTAGGGCGCCACGGGCAGCGCAGGGGCCCCCCGCCCCACCTCCCCATGCTGGTCCTCAGTGGGGGAGACTCCGGGTGTTTTAATAAGATCGCATTCTTAGTCCATTACAGATGCATCCAGTCTTGGGTCAGGTATGCCTCACCTTGTTCCACCACGGTGGCTTTGCCTCTGAGAAGCTGTTAGTTAAATCCTGCTCTCAGTGAAAGCCTGAGAGAATCAAGCTCCTCAAGCCTTTTGCAAACTCTAGGGGGAAAAACCCTTTTGTTATGCAGTGTCTCCACTTGGTAGATTTGATTCTCGAAAATGGGTCCCACTTGCATTTTTGTCCCTGTTGGGTCACCAAACATAATGATGAATTGAACAATTGGGTTTCCTTATCTCCTGGTGTGCGGAGCAAGTGGCCAGTCTGAGCTGGCCCGCGCAGGCTGGCCTGGCAGTACCTCTGTGCCCCTCATGCCTGTCCCCCGGGCCTGTTGCTCCTTTGCCTTGTTCCAGCCCCCAGGAGCTCTTCTCCCCACAGCCAGAGGGGCGCACCTTGTGTAAAACAGCTCCTGGCTCTGCATCCCTTGGTCTGGGAATGGAGTTGGCTGCCTTCTCTCATGCTGGCTTCCCCAGGAGAAAGTAAGCTTTTCATGGTCAGTAGGGCATGCCGAGTGGCTGGGGAATTCACAAGGAAACCAGGAGGAACTTGCAGCCAGAGCTTTGAAAGTGGGTCTGAAGACTTTTGCAGCGTCAAAAAGGGGCACTTGAACATTGCACCGCAGATACGCACACTTGTGGAAAATGTGCCCTAGACACTGAAGAAATGTGGAGAACCCCTTTGACGTGTTCTCGAAGTCTGGTGCTGGTGTTAGGTGCCCGAGCTCCCCCTGCAGTCATCTAAGACTTGGGAAATCCCCACTGATACCTTGCACCCTTTTTCCTGAGGTCTCTCTGTATTTGTGTCATCCTGTGTCTGCAGCTTAAAGCATGAGGCTTGTCATCTGGTTGGTATGTTTTGCTTGGTAATTAGGAGGCTCTCGCAAAACAGTTCCAGCCGAGGCTCATGGCTGGGTCCTCAGGCTGGACTTGCGGATTGGCTTTCCCTCCCCGTGGACCCTCCTGTCTTTAAAGAGGGGGCTTCAGAACAAGCCGTGATGTCAACCGTTCTGGGGGAAATCCAGCACGGAGTGTTGATTTCTCTGAAGGGGTTATTGTGTTCAAAGTCTAGTTGCATTCTTCTGGCCAAATGGGCTTCAAAGAGAGGAAGGGAAACATTTGGGTCATTCTAGAACCTCAGGAAACCCACTTTGTGTTTTCATCAGGGGTGCTTTAGATATTTTGTCACTTAAGCTTGGGAAGGAAAAGAAAACACCAAAAAGAATTTTTCTGTTTCTTCTCTCCTTTATTACTTTCAGGGCAGCGCCCCCTGGTGGCCGCGTTTTTGTGCTGGATGCAAAATACTCCCACCCTCGAGAGAGTGGCCAGAGTCCTTTGCTGCTCTCATGTTTGATGTGAATGCTGGTGCAGTTTCAGTGGCCGAGAAGGGGGTGTAGATGGACATTGTCATGTTTTTGACTTTCACAATCCGGGGGTGCAGCGCTCCCATTTGGATGGGTGATGAATTGTCTGTGAGTTCCATAGTTAAGTCCAGAGATGTTTGAAAATGGCTTGAGGCTCTGCTCTGAATGTTTGGGGCAGTGGCAGTGGCAGAGAGGATGACCTGAGTGGATCGGGATAAGTTGTTTGTTTAGTCGAACGTCAGTCAGGCCTTGTAAAAATCTTAGACCAGGAAGGGGTGTGGGAGATCATCTCACCAGCCCCCCAACCCTGACCCCCACTGCTCCCATGCCCCTGTTTTTTTGGCCACACTGCCCGGCTTGTGGGATCTTAGTTCCCCAATCAGGGATCAAACCTGTGCTCCCTGCAATGGAAGCGCCGAGTCTTAACCACCGGACCGCCAGGGAAGTCCCCCCAGCCCCTTTGTTTTACAGACGGGGATATGGCATGAGATGGAGCAGCCTCCATACTTTTGTTCCTTTTGTTCAATTTCTAGAATGGATCCAACCTGGGCACCTTGAGACCCACATGGAAAGCAAGTCCTTTCTCCTTGGGCATCTCCGACAGTTGGGCGGACCCCCTCATTATCTTCACGGGGTCCAGCTGCTGCCGTTTTGTCTTGGAGACACTTCCTTGCAAGGCTGAGATGTGGCCTCAGCAGGTGTAATGTTTGCTCTCTGAGGGGCATCACCCGCTGCAGGCATCTGTGGGCCGTCAGAGCAGGTCCCGCTGGGACACCTTAGCAGGCGTGAGGGCCAACCCTTTGGACCCTGGTGCACCTCGATGGGATGGGCTTTCTGGCTCCTCGACAGATGGGCCTTGACTCAGCTTGTTTTTTGTGGCACTGTTTGTTCCTGCCCCTCTCCTGCATGTCTTCCCTTCTCCACGGGGACGGCTCTGGTGTTCTCTTACCCTCCTACCTCCCTTCCCCTTCCCCTCACACTGGAGCACGCTTGCAGCTCCCTCACACCTCTCTTTGTGCCTTTTCGAGAAGTCCAGAAGGAACTTCAGGCGGGGAGCAGAGAAGTAAAGCTGTTAGTTGGAAATGTCTGGTAATTTTTTTTTTTTGGCTGCATTGGGTCTTTGTTGCTGTGCGCGGGCTTTCTCTAGTTACGGCGAGCAGGGGCTACTCTTGGTTGCGGTGCATGGGCTTCTCATTGCAGTGGCTTCTCTTGTTGTGGAGCACGGGCTCTAGGCCCGCGGGCTCAGCAGTTGTGGCGCACAGGCTTAGTTGCTCCGCGGCATACGGGATCTTCCCGGACCAGGGCTCGAACCCGTGTCCCCTGCATTGGCAGGCAGATTCTTAACCACTGTGCCACCAGGGAAGTGCATGTTGGGTGATTTTTTAATTTTTAGTTTTTTTAGTTCTCCACAGTGCTCTGTGTGGAAAGGCTGGCTGACCTGGTTCCCTTTGTCCACGTTTTCTGTGTCAGCCCTCCAATGCCTCACCCCCCCAACTCCTCTTTCCTGCGGCTGAACTTGTGTTGCAGGAGGTGGTAGAAAGGCGCAGGACATCACAAAGCATTTTGGTGTAGAACGTGGGTGAACTTCTGTCTGTCTTTACTGTCGTGTTACCTGACTTTTTCTTTTCTTTTTTTTTGTGGTACGCGGGCCTCTCACAGTTGTGGCCTCTCCCGTTGCGGAGCACAGGCTCTGGACGCGCAGGCTCAGCGGCCATGGCTCATGGGCCCAGCTGCTCCGCCGCTTGTGGGATCTTCCTGGACCGGGGCACGAACCCGTGTCCCCTGCATCGGCAGGCGGACTCTCAACCACTGCGCCACCAGGGAAGCCCTACCTGACTTTTTAATGTTGGAACCTCATCTCACATCATCCTTCCTGGAACCTTATCTCACATCGTCCTCTCTGTAGCTCAGGGTGGCAGAATGGGGAAACTGAGGCTTGGGGCATATGAGGGAATTGCATTCAGAGTGGAGGGCTTCCCTGAGCCCAGACCCCAGGTCTCTACACCTGAGGATGTGGCTGCCTTGTTTATTAAGAAGTTGTTTGCCCAGCTTAGGCCTGGGCTCTTGGAGGCTCCAGAAGGAGGGAGCTGGGAGTTCGGTGTTAACTGTACCCTGGCCTCCAGGGTACCCCCAGGCCGTCCCTTCCCCTCAGGGCCGCTCAGGGCCTACATTCCTGTCTTTATTTTTATTTTTTTTTTATTTTTTACCTTTTTGCTGCGCGGCACGTGGGATCGTAGTTCCCCGACCGGGGATCGAACCTGCACCCCCTGCAGTGGAAGTGCGGAGTCTTAACCATTGGACTGCCAGGGAAGTCCCCATTCCTTTCTTTAAATGAAGGAATCCAGAAGGTTCGTTTTTGCTGGGATGGTTTAGCATTATTCTGTGCTGGGATTCTTTTGGGAGATTCATAGTGGGGAGGAAGGAGAATCTTTTCCTAGATTAAGTGCTGCTGGTCTGTGAGTGGGTATTTTTCTGTTTGTCTTAGTGTTTGGATCTGGCACCGTTTTGGGGGCGTGGAGGTGGGAAGAGGTGCTGACTTTGGTTTTCTTTGCAGCTGTGCATCGGGACAGTCCATACCCAGCCTTGCAAGTAAACACTTTCCAACAGCTTCTGAGGGAGCAAACTGGGCTTCCCACAGGAGAAGACGGCCATCTGGGCGCTGCTGTCTGTTTATGAGCCTGCCTGGGTCCCAGGCCTGGGTCTACAACAGGCCACCCATGTGACCCTGGGCATGTGCCTCAGTGCCCTCATCTTTAAAGTGAGGA